TAGAAGCGGCTTAAGCTTGGCGGGGAGGGAAAAGCATTCCGTGGCGCTCGACTCACAGCGACAAAGAGCACAACTAATGGCCCTTACCTTCCTTCAATTAAAACACATGGCAAAATGCCGACAGTGACTCCAGTGCAAGCTTTTAAAAATCGATGTTTCGATGAATCGATTAATTAGGTTGTTTCCTCAGTTGGATCAAGATAGATGAACTCAAAGTAGCCTGTTACTTTTTAAATTCATGTTGGGAGCCAGGATAGCGCAGTCGGTATAGTGACTGGCTACGGGCTGGACGACAAAGGGGTAGGAGTTCGAGTCCCGGTGGGGTCAAGAATTTTCTTTTCTCCACGTCGTCCAGACCGGCTCTGGGTCTCTCCTATCCAATCAGTATCGAGGGCTCTTTTCCCGGGGGAAAAGTGGCTGGGGCTTGAAACTGACCATTCACCTCCAATTAATACCGAGGTCAAGAAAACGTGGATCTATACATCCACTCCCCCATACGTCTTCATGGCATAGTACTTAATTAGCTAAGCACAGGGATAACATTACCTTTTATTACAAAATTTAGCTAAACGTAAAATATAACAAATTTTATGAAAAATATGTTATCGATTATTAGTAAAATACGAAAATTTTAATTAGTTTTAAGTGTTCTGAAGGGAACTGGGTCTAGTCAGAAGTTCGAGTCTCGTCCAGAGGAAAAATGTTGACCCTATCAATAACAATACACAGGCAACGGCAAGGCTGCAATATCATAACGTGTAAATAAAATGTTATAATAGAGCTGACCTGCTTTTTAAACCAAAAGAGTTATCCAATATGAATTTATTCCCCTAAGACCGTCAACTATGAATTCTGCCTTCAAGATTTGGAATGTTTACGCACGGATCCGTTGAAGTAAATAAAATCTTCAGCCATACAAATTAATTTTGCATTATGAGAGTGTACATTTCCACAAAGCAATTTAGGTAAACAATTCTCGTCAATAGCCGATCACTGTGGCCGGATGGCCTAAGGCATAAACTGTCTTCGCCCGCTCGAACGTTGGGGTCGTGGGTTGTAATCCCACTTGAGGTATGGATGTCTGTGTGTGTTTATTCTGTTTGTAGGTAGCGGCCTTGCGACAGACTGATCCCCCGTCCAAGGAGTCCTACTAACTGTGTATAGATAAAAAAACTGAAGAAATCGGCAAAGGTCCACAAGGGCTGGAGAGACATTGATAGAGGGAAACAGAAAAATTTCCAGTGCTGGAACTTCCGCCGTACATATGTGATCTCCCGCCTGTAATTATCTAATGCTTCAAAAAAAACTTCGTTCGAACTGTCATATTTTGAAACGCCTGACATTCGGAGCAACGAGACGACAGCAAGTCTAGGAGTGGCAGAGATATTAGAATGCGCTTACTCTGACGGTAGTCACACTCAAGCTTAATGATGATGCGTGGACTCTACGTTACGGAATCCGGGTGGCCATTTAACATACTTCGTGTAGGCCTGTACTGCGTTTTATAGAGCAGGATAAGTCAGGATTCTTAGTCTGGTCCTGTAGCAGAGAGGTCCCCGCTACACAGAAAAAGAAATGGGTCATAAATCCGGCAGAGCTTTGAGTACGACTGCATCGTTTTGTTCGTCGTTTGTCATCATATCTTGTCAAGCGACTTGGGTTGAATACCTAGCGGCCCCTGCAGTATCGATCGAACCCCCGAGGCCTGTGCTGCACGATGCGGAGGACCGGGCTGGTGTGGCTCCGGGAGCTTCAGCTGCAGCCCCTTCAAAATTAGACATTTACATTATACTAAATGCTATGTGTATCTAGTCTTGTTTTATTCCTATTAAAGCACAAGAACATTCATCGCGAATCGTGGAGTTTTGAGCAGGAATAAAATAAAAACAGTAATTTGTAATAAAACAAATTTCAGCCATCACAGATATCCATTTTTATAGCTAACGAATTCTATTATGGAGGTAGTGAATGTACTGTGAGGTGACGGCTGAAAGCCGGAATAGTGGAGCCGGAGTCAGAAATCACGTTCACGCTAAAACAGTAGCAGCGAACGGGTCGTTACTAGGTAACAAGTTGTTAAACACAAAGGCATTTCGTCACTGATTTTCAAGTTTTCATTAGATTACACCATTATGTAGCTCCAAGAAATTGAATGGAACACGACTGTTTCTGGTCAATGTTGATGATGTTAATTTATTAGAGAAAGTCTATACGCCATAAAGAAAATCACAGAAGCTCTATTAGACGTTAGTAAGACGGTTGGTCTAGAACTAAATACATTTCACCAGTAGAAGTCAGGACAAAATTCTAACATAAAATAGCTAATAAATCCACTGAAAATGTGGCAAATTTTAACAAATTCGGAACGACACCATCAAACAAAAATTATATTCGTGCACAAAGATAAGATTAAATTCTGGGAATGCATGATCCCATTTAGTTAAGAACAATTTTTCTTTCTGCCTACTATCTAAAACCGCGAGGTTAAAACTGTGAACATTACGTATATAATTTTATCTGTTGATCTCTATGATTGTGAAATTTGGTCTTCATGTTAAGGAATGAACATAGGGTGCTTGAGAACTGAGTGCTGGACCCAAAACAGAGGAAGCGATAGGAGGCTGGAATAAACTGTATATTAAAAAAAAAGGTTCCATAATTTGTAGACCTAGTCCATTCTCAAGATTACCAGGATTATCAGGAGATATGCAGAAAACGCTTTGGACGGAAAGCCTGTCCCATAGAGACCACCCAGAAGACATCGGCATAGATGGGAGGGTAGCATTAAAATAGATATTAAAGGTATATTTTTGGGGTTGTGTAATGGATTAGTTTGATTCCGAATAGGAGCAAATAGTGGATCCTTGTGAATACTGTAATGCGTCTTCGGGTTTCATAACAACTGCGGAGTCCGTTGATTAGGTAAAGGTATCCTTGTAACAGGCTCTGGAGGCCCATAGGGTTGTGAGACGTTGAGAGTCGGCTCACAGATGGCGGTAAGGTTGTCACCCTTACGCACCGGCCGCCCTTTACCACCAGGAAGTTTTTGGTACTCATTTCTGTCATAGACTGAGTCGATCCCAGGGCCATAGTGCGGCTGGAAGGATTAAGTCAATTGAAAAAATCGACCTCATTGGGACTCTATCCCGCGACCTTCCTGCTTGTAGCATAGTGCCTCAACCAACTACGCTACCGCGTACACCCGTTCACTGATTACAAGAAACAAATTTTCTATGCAATAATAGTTGAAAATTAGTCATTGTCAAGAATCAATCAACGAAACCACCTTCATATTAACCCCTAGGCCTACAGAAATCATTCTATATTCCTTATTTAAATTCAACTTAGGCCTATCAAAATTTATAATTAACAGTTGTGTTGAATGGATCTCTTATGGTACTTCATGGAGTGTCATCAGTTTGGGAATCGAGAAAACTAAGGCCGCGCCATAGCTCAAGCGGTTAGTCCCTGGCTTTCCACCGCGGCGGCCCGGGTTCGATCCCGGGTCTGGTCAAGTGGGATTTGTGGTGGACAAAGTGCCACTAGGGCAAGTTTTCTCCGAGTACTTCGGCCTCCCTTGCCAATCTTCATTCCACCAATTACTCCACAATCACCCTCACCTATCATCTCGGGCTGGTACAATAGGCCAGAAGTGGCCGCAGTACAAGGAACTTAGTCCCACCTCACTAGCAATAGAAAAATACATAAAGAATATAACCGCAAGCGTTCAATTAGAAAATAAAATTTTTGGTCGTGGGTCTCAAGGGGCTTGTCACCAAGACGAACTGATTGACGGTAAACCCGTCGTGAAGTAACACTGACTCTGACTCTTGACTCCAGAGAGTGATAACTGGCAGGCAGTTCTGTACCGGAGCTGGTGAAGGAAGGACCTGAGCGCAAGGGGCTGAAGAATTTCCACTGTTAGAAACCGTTGTCATGGAACGGCTGGTAAAGACGCAGCAGGCTGGAAGAGGCTTAGCGGGTGCTGTGGTGATTTGTGGAGATTAACGGTGGCACTATAATTACTTGTAATTCCGAGTCGGTTCAGTATAAGTGGTCAATAAATCCATTCACCAATCCAAAGGCCGTCTATATTCACACCCGATATAAACGTGAAAATAATATATTAATAACTGGTCATGCATTATTTTAAGATATCGTCCATAATTTTTATCAAGATATTGGTTAGAAAAACGATAACATTTATTTGGGATAGCCGGGATTTGGCTCGGGGTTCGAGTCGGAGACCTTCGGATTTTTATGCGGGATTGCTTACTACTAGGTGAGATTAGCTTAGCTCCTGGTCCACTTTTGAGTTTAATATTCTCTTTCTCGAACGTGCTTCCATGTCAGAAGTTCGCACTGCTGCGCTAGTCGAGATTTAGGCAGGAGCGAACTGCGGCTTTCTAAGGCAGGATCCCAGTCAGAGCCTGGATCTGGTTCACTGAGCCGTCACCAGAATATAACCGATTACAACTGTCGGGTCTTGCATCGTGTAACATGAGGCGCATTTTGCGAACAATTTAATGCAGTAATTGAATGTCTCTTGCTTGAAACAATAACACATTTCCTATACACTCCCCTTGTCTCCTGTAAATAACCTATTATCAAGGGGTGAATAAATTCTCCCCTCTCTGGATCTAGGCTAATACCTTATTTCTGCAGCAGATGGGAACAGAGCACGTACTGCATGCAGAAGTGACGTAAGTGGAGCTTCATATGTTGGTATATTTTATTTATGGGAATATTCTTTATCAAGACTAAAAATTTGTAAGAAGCGGTGTTTACGAACGATCAAAATATGCAATTTAAATTTGTAAGTTAGAAAACTGAATAAATCATTTAAACGCAGTGGCTACTAAAAATGCAGTCTGTTTTAATATTAAGAAGACTGCGTTTTCTCCGCAGAGCACCGTCAGCATGCGTCTTGTGAGACAGAAGTTACATTTATATACATTATTTAGATGAACTTCATGCTTCTAAAGCTTAAGGCGTGTTACCTGAGAAACTTCCACTGACCTGCAGTTCTCACATCATGTTAAACAGGCCCGGCATTCCTGAGACAAGAAAATCAAAGCTGTTAGCTATGGCACCTCCTGAATTCCAAATGGCTACATAATGTTTCGAAGATCACAGTAACATAGAACATAATTATCACCATAAAAACAACCGGAATAAGTAATCAATAAAGTAACTGCTATGGAACAGAGGACCAAAGTTCGAATCGCTACAAGGCTAATAATTTTTTTGTTCATTACCATGTCAAGACCGTTGTTGGATCCACGCAAGGCTCCTACCTAACAAGCACGGGGCTTAAGGGATTAAGGTGTATAAAGCGTGAAGCTGGCCACTCTCAACCAGTCTGCGCCAAAATTAAAATTGCACTTTCTGCTTAAAGCAAACAGATAACAAAATTAATAGAAGGTCCGTCGAGTGTAACAATTTGTAGGTCACTTTTTATTATTATTTCTGCCTTACGTGTTTCGGTTTGACACAACCATCATCAGAGGCACTTGCTACAATTATGGAAACACTGTCGCTTTTTTTGATGTTCACAATTATGTTTGTCGTGAGGACGCTGCTACGACATGTTGACGTGTAAAAGCACAAAACATGCTAAGATAGTTGAGTACACTCTCAAGTTCTCACTTTTCATCCGAACCTATTTTTAAGTTAAAACGCTAAAATGTTAAAATATTTGATATAAAATGCTGAACTCCTCCTTGTTAATTCATCCCGAAGATGGGAGACGTCAGCTTGAGGTTGTATGGCTATGGTTTGATATGTTCTTGTGTGCTGTGTACTGCATAATAAAAAGTGACCTACAAATTGTTACACTCGACGGACCTTCTATTAACTTTGTGATTGATAGTGTAACGGACCAAAATGAAACAATTCAAAGAGATAACTTTAAAGTTGTGTGTTTTCATTACCACTGTAACTCATAATATGCTAGCGATGATTGAGAAAGCTGTGTGTCATTTGCCAGACCTAACCGATAGGGATACTGTGTATTTGGTACAATTCCGTGTAGGCCTGTTGGCTAGAGTACAGGACGTATACTGGAAATTAGCTCTCAACATAATAACAATAATAATAATAATAATAATAATAATAATAATAAAAAGGATGAGCCGGGATAGCGCAGTCGGTATAGCGACTAGCTACAGGCTGGACGACTGAGGGGTCGGAGTTCGAGTCTCGGTAGGGTCAAGAATGTTCTATTCTCCATGTCGTCCAAACTGGCTCTGGGGTCCACCCTACTTCCTACCCAATGGGTACCAGAGGTTCTTTCCATGGAAGTAAAGCGGCCGGGGCGTGAAGCTGAACACTCACTTCCAGCTAATACCGTGGTCAAGAAAATGTGAATCATTACATCCACTCACCCATACGCCTTCATGGTGTTGTGCTCAACTCGTTTACTTTTTATAATAATAACAACAATAATAATTCAATTAAATTCAATTCTTTATTATTTATGTGCCAAGTCAACAGCCGTAAGGCCAATTACAGACTTAGCACAGTGAAGATGAAAGTAATTAAGTGTAACATTATACAAACATTAGACAAACACATTATAAGTCAAAAATAAATTACAGGAAATTTCTTGGGAAAACAAAGTAATGAAGAAAAGTAAACAAACAAGCAAATAAATGATAATAATAACAATAACAATAATTACATTATCATAAAACTAAATGTTATTTAGAAGTGAAAAGAAACATAAATATTTAATTAATAATAATAATAATTTGAAATGTATCCAAACGAAATTGCCGAAGTTAATATGCATCCATCTTACTCTGGTCCGGAAATAGGGACTAGCCGTATCTGTAGGGCCCAATTGAGGAGGTTTTACCTAAAGATGGAGACAAAATCCAGTCTCCGAAACGTGTTTTGAAAAATAAACAGGGCGGTTTTTAGATATAAACAAGACAATGGATGATGTCCAAAAACACTTGTATCTGTCTTACGCATTTCCTGTTAATGATACTCTGAAATTAGGAGATGCTTTATTTCGACTGCACTTAAACTTCGATTTAGCGTAGGCTTAAGCCATTAGGGTTAAAAAAGGTAAACTTGTTCTTGTAACAGTCCATGGAGACCCATAGGGTTGTGAGACGTCGAGGCTCCCTACCGGGATAGCTTTACCATAAGCCATTAGAGTGGTCCAAAAATCAGTATGGACTGGAACCTAATAGGATGCATAAACTTCTGTTCTATGGTCATAACATTAATTTGAGCTGCGGAAAGTGCCGCAGAGATACGTTAGACACGAGGAAGGAGACGGATCTCGAAGCAAAATCAGAGATATCTACATACGTGTATATACTCTTGAAGTATCAACAGAACACAGGCCAAAAATCGTGATGCAGAAATGGTTAATATGAGCGTCGAAATTGTTGCAAAGGAAAATGTTCGGGAATCACAGCAATGAATCAGAATTACACTAGGGAAAAATGTAAAATTAGATTAATTCTGGGGAATACGTGTCACCATTCAGGCCACAATATTCCACAATCCAGACCAGGAACCTTTATATCAAAGCATTATAAAAACCTACATTTTTGTCTATTTTTGTATGAGCATGAAGCTTTGTCTCTCGCCCTAAGAGAAGAACGCAGGCTACGACTGTTTGATAAAGCGTTGGGCCTACGACATACGAAGTAACAGGATGATGGAAAAAATACATAAAAATATGTCCTACAGCCAAATCATTATCTCGGCGTTTAGTTGCAGATTTTGGCGCATCCATCTCGCAACAAAAACATTTACAAGATAATATACACACAGATATTTGATTACCATATTCTGTTACGTATACCACTCAATCAGAGAGAGGGACACGACAGGGCGATAATTACACAAATTTCACTACAGGTGCCACAGGTGGTGCAATTGTCGGAACTTTCCCAGGATTCTTGATCTTTTATGCCCCTCGCCTGTTGCCTGTCAGACGCGCTCTGCTGGACATGTCACGTGATCTGTCAGCCAACCTTCAATCAGCCAGTCTCGCTCCACCCTGGACAGACGATTTCCATCCGGAACCCGAAAACATGTAAGCCGGGATAGCGTACTCGCTCTAGCGACTGGATACGGGCTGGACGACCGAGGGGTCGGAGTTCGAGTCACGGTAGGGTCTAGAATTCTCTCTTCTCCACGTCGTCCAGACCGGCTCTGGGGTCTATCGAACCTCCTATCCAATGGGTACCGGGGGCTCTTTCCCTGGGGGTAAAGCGGCTGGGGCGTAAAGCTGACCAGTCACCTCCAAATAGGGCCGAGGTCAAGAAAATGTGGTTCTATACATCCACTTCCCCATACGCCTTCATGGTGTTGTGACTAATTAGTTAAGCACAGGGACAACTTTACCTTTTACCCGGAAAGATACTTGGTGACTGAACCTTTCTTCGTTTCGTCAGTCACTGAATGATGATTTATAATCTGTATGGCTTTATAGAGTCGAATGGAACAATAATTACAACTGATTAATTGGAAAGTAGAGAAGCTGACATTCGTTCAGCTGGTAAATAAATTCCCTGCCATATATAGACTTCGAAAGTCCACTGACATACATAACAGCTCACCATGTCCGATGCCCTGATATTTTGCAGAGGTTCTCACAGCGGTGACTATGATGAGCAGTACTTACTTTGCTTACTGTTTGGTTCCTTGCTTGCTCGCTTGCCCGACTTACTCTTAGACCCTAAACTGTAAGCAGCACTTCCTCCGAAACGTCGGGAGAGATCTATCAGACAACACGACTTCGCTTTACAGAAAATAGTATTCATCGTGATAGAATCAAACAAAAGAAGCAAACTCCGTGGCTTGTAGTCCGCAAAGGAACTATACCGACCGAGCGGCCGGCGCTTGTCGGCGAAGCTAGTTCCAACTTTTGCTTACAGAGGGTGTCGCGTGGTCAGAGCAACGAATCCCCACGGCCGTTAACCTCGGTTTTCTAGACCTGAGCCGCTATTTCCTTGAAATAGCTCCTCAGTTATTCTCACAAGACTAAGTGGACCCCGTTCCAGACCCGCTATTTCTCAGAAAATCTGGTAGTGCCAGGAATCGAACCCGAACCTCTGGATCCGTAGCCAGGAACTTTGAGCACTAGACCATAGAGGCGGTCCGTGATAGAATCAGTTTCTATTATTACTACTACTACTACTATTATTAACTACTGTAAACTTCTAATTTTTGCAGACGATCTCAAATTTTTCCGCATTATTAACTCTCCACATGATTCCCGCTTACTTCAATGTGACTGGTGCACTGCTAACTCCATGAGACTTAATGCTGTTAAAACTCGTGTTGTGTCATACACCAGAAAAACAAATTTTCTGAGCTACGAGTATCAGATTTGTCAGACTATCATTACAAGCACAAACAGTATTAAGGACCTGGGTGTTTTCTTGGATTTAAAGCTACATTTTCACAAACACATTTTAATTACACATTTTCTGAATGCATAAAGCTTTTAGGCCTTATTCGCTCCATTACCTACATGTTTTCCTCCCTCGAGTGTCTGTATGTACTATATTTTACTTTAGTCAGGTCCAAGTTGGAATATGCCTCAGTAGTCTGGAACTCCATCACCTCGACTGATGCCAATAAGCTTGAGTGCACCCAGCAGACGTTTGCGTCCATCTGTTTTTATCGTTTTTCCCCTCATATTTCATGTAATTATACTGATGCTTTAGAGAAATTAAGTCTACAATCTTTACATAAACGGAGACATCACCTTGATGCACTTTTTCTTGTTCAGGTCTTTCGTGGTCTTAAATCCTGCGCTCCTCTTTTGGAAAATGTTAGCCTTCGTGTTCCTCCCAGCAATCTTAGGGACTTCTCATTGTTTGGTGTTTGTCCCTCTAATAAACACTGTCCCTCTGCTCGGTGCGCCTATGCTGCCAACGCGGTGGGTAAAGATCTTGACATATTTGCAATCGGAACAGTTTCTGTAAATCACACTGAACCTTAAATTGTTAATAATACTTGTTATACTACTCGTATTAATATTACATGTGTATATGTACGTATATTGGTCTCATTTTATATTTCTCCCCTGTTAACTTTAACTTTAATTTTTCTTGGAATTATTATTAATTTATTGCCATTATATAGACTCTCAAATTTTGTGGTTTGTTTTCTTTTAATTATTTTTGTGTATTTCTATGTACTCGTGCTAACCTTGTAATTGGCCTCTGTGCTGTTATGTTTGCACGTAAACAAACATGAATTGAAATGAATTGAATTGAATTGAACTGAATTAGGATGTTGAGCTGCCACAAGAATACATAAGTTTTTTCCCCCCTTGGCACTACAGCCCGAGTGGGCCTAGGTCTACCTTCATGAGACTCTCCGTTTCACTTCGGTTTACTAGATCTTACACATACAATAGGACTCCTTGAGCGAGTGATCAGCTCGTCGCAAGGCCTCTACCTGTAGACAAACACAGAAAAACGCACACAAACATCCATGCCCTGAGTGGGATTCGAACCCACGATCCCGGCTTCCGAGCGAGCGAAGACAGTGCATGCCTTAGACCGCTCGGCTACCGTGACCGGCGCAGCTGTGTATTTACTTGGCCAAACAACCATAGGAATACTAATTTTTTAACTCTCTTGCATTATTGCTAATTAGTTTCAGTTAATATAGCTATTTAATTTGAAATGAGGCCCAACTTACATCAGATGTTACGATCAAGGGGCAAGAAGTACTTTGGACAGAGGGCGGCTGTGAAGGGGAGTACGCTCTAATGCGCTGGAAGATTGGGCGGCGGGGGGGCGGTGGGGGGAGCAACATGGAATTTGGAAGGATTATGTCACTCGGTCAAGCGTACTTAAAAGCAGATATACGAGGGTTGTGAAGGACGGAGGGTGAACCATCCATCAGGAAATATCCCCCCAGTCGAGTTACCCTCGTTCCCACCCTACTCAATATATCCGATGTTCCGGGTTCTAACCTTGCTGAGATTCTTGTCATTCGTTCTCATTCTGCTGAATGTCGTGAGAATGTTTTAATTACTGAGTTCCACAGCGTAGGATTTGAGGTTCTCACAGGGGTAGTTATATCTTCGGGAATATAACGCCGTGTAGTCCGTTGAAACTCAAACGTTGTTTCGGAGGAATATATCGCTTGCCAGTGCTTTCACGCTGGTTTCTTGCTCGGATTATTTTTAGACCCTGAAGATGGAGGCGATATTCCTCCGAAACGTCGGGTGACTTTTAACTGACTACACGCCGTTATATCCCAGAAGACAGTCCTCTTCAGAGGTCTTGAAAGTAGGCCATAATACTTTCCTCCCACATTTCTTCCAATTTGCGATCATATACCTTTCTTCGGTTATGTAAAATTTTGTTGTTCATATAGAGCGTCTTTAAACAATTTAAAAATGAGTTCATACAATAACTCTCTGTCTTTCTGTTCGCTCTCTAAGAACGTAAATATTAGAATGTATATACTATAATTTTGCTTATTGTATTGTATATGTGTGAAACTTGGGTGTTCACGTAAAGGTAAGAAAACAGACTGAGTATGACGAAGGAAGCAGTGTCAGGAATCTGGAGGAAGCTGTGGTGTGATGAGGAGTCCATACTGCGTACTCTTCCCCACATAATATGGACACAGCATGTAGCATGAATCTGAGAGACGAGCAATGCACACAAATTTTGGTAGGAAACCCTAAAGAAGAAAACCACTAGCAAAATCTAGGCATGGATGTTAGGATAATGTTAAAATTTATGTTAAAAATAGGAAGAGAGGATGTAGAATGGCTACATTTAGCGTGTGGTAAGGAAAACTAACGCGGCCTTCTGACCTCTGTAATAAATGTTCGGACTCATAAAACGATGGGAATTTCTTGAGTAACTGAGCTATTACTAGCTTCTCAAACCGACTCAGTACTATTAAGTTGGCTAATTAATGATACGTGCACTTGAGTTTTAGAATTAATTTTTCGAGACATATCAATTTTGGTTAAAATCAGATAAGAATACCTGAAATTTTATGTGAAAACCTTTATGGGTTTCAGCACGCAAATAGGCCTTTTAAAAATCTTTTTCAACATTTATTAAGGTTGGCTTTGTAGAAAAATAACATAATTATTTAATCTTTGTTTCGAATTCTACAGCCAACCGAACATACACGAGCAATGGCACGGTGTAAAGATGTCCTCAATTTTCTCCTGCCTAGGTCATCCACACTTCTTCAACCAACTGTCGTGCGGTCTCGACCTGGTCTCCATGGCGGGCGAATGGCTTACAGCAACCGCCAACACCAACATGTTCACGTACGAGATCGCTCCGGTCTTCATCCTCATGGAGCATGTGGTCATGGAGAAAATGAGGGAAATCATTGGCTTCCAGGGTGGTGACTCCATTCTCGCTCCAGGTAACCGACATGAAGCGTACCGTATGAGTCTAGATTTCTACTGGGCTGAGTTGAACATGGATTGGCGGGAAAAGGAACGTCAGCAGAATGTTAGGTTAAGAACTGGCTCAGGTCTCTATGTTCGCTGTTTTAGAATGTTTTAATAGTCAGTTACTCCAAGGTTCCAACTAGCACACTAAATTGCGACCTTGCGAAATCTTACATTTCATGACACACCGAGTTCAACAGCAAGATCTTGTGACATGTCAGTTCCATACAAACGGTCAGTATACCAAAATCATACAAAAATACACATCTTATATTCGTAAACTACATATCTAGGGTGTGTGTATTTGTGCTCCGGTCTAGAAAACCGAAAATTAACGGCAGTGGGGTTTCGTTGCGTTGACCACGCGACACCCTCTATCCGCTAAACTTGGCACTAACTTCACCGACAAGCGGCGGTCGCTCGGTCGGTATAGTTTGCTTGTGGACTAAAGCTATGGAGTAGTATAAGTGTGTGTGAAAAATCTGATCCCTAGGTCCTTGGTCTTCTGCTCTTAAACATATAAGCACAGAAGAAGCTAACTAGCATCAAACAATCATTCGAATAACTTTAATTGTGGAAACAAAATGCGATTTAAGTGCAGCGAATGAAAATCGGATAGTTATACTAGAGAAGACTGACTGACGGTGAAGGGCTTAACCCTCATTATGTTACAATATTGCTACCGTATAAGTAATGACCACCAGCTGAGCTCTTTGAATTTTTGTTTACTTAATTACGGCTATAATTAAAAAACTCGACACGGTAATTCGAAGCCACCCAGTGAACACAAAGTCTTCGATGCAGAAACAGAGTACAGTTTACTGAAGAGAACATAAGATATTGTCATGTACAAGTATGTACATGGAGTGTGACTACAGACGGGTTCTTTCGATCCTGGGTTTGGTAAAGTGGGATTTGTGGTGGACAAAGTGGCGCTGGGGAAGGTTTTCTCCGAGTACTTCGGTTTCCCCTGCCAATCTTCATTCCATCAATTGCTTCACAATCACCTTCACCTATCATCTGGGGCTGGTACAATAGGCCAGAAGTGGCCGCAGTACAAGGGACTTAGTCCCACCCCACTAGCAATAAAAAAATAGACGGGTTCTGGATTGATGTCCGGATTTATTGGACTCTTTGATATAGCGCGTGACTACACTTCACAGTTCACCATTAAATATATACAATAAGTGTCCACAGTCATGTCTTCATTAGACGTTGCTTGGTAGCGGCTTTCAACGACGGACGTTCCCCTTCCTCTACGTTCCCAAACGGTCCCCGTGCCTCAGCTACCAGCTACAGCAACAGCTCACAACAACTGAACCTGAGCAGTCTTCTAGCTAACTCACCAACCGACTGACTCACTCATTCCTAACTTTTCCTACTTAGAACATCTCTACACGGACCACACAGAAAACACCATTCCTCTGTTGATGTTTACGAGCTCCTGCCTAGTAACGGCCGTTGTATAGTTCCTTATTTTCCGATCGTTGCCTAGTAACGGGTTTACATGCCACAGCATTATTGTGTTGACGTGTGAATTCCAGATTGATCCTCCTGTTTGCAGGTGGCTCAATATCGAACCTGTACGCCTTCCTTGCAGCTCGGCACCGAATGTTTCCTGATTACAAGCAGAAGGGTCTCAGCTGTATACCGGGTCAGCTCGTGATGTACACCTCAGATCAGGTAGGCCATGGAACACACGGGTCCCTCGAACGTCTGACAGTTCATATACCTTGTAAGATTTGAGGCTTTCACGGCGGTGACTATGAAGAAAGCAGTCTTCTGGGATTTGGCACCGTGTATATGTGGTGTTAACCGACGTTCCTCTGAAACGTCGGTTAACACCACATATACACGGTGCCAAATCCCAGAAGACTGCTTTCTTCAGTTTATATACCTTGATTGCTTCACAGGCCGCCTCATTAGGAAAACTGGTTTAGGTGCAAACGTCAGCGCTTAAAACACCAAGCATACAAGTGCCATCCTTGTTACTTGCGGTCACGCCTATTCCTGACAGAGCTCCAAAGATTGTGATATCGCGATTTTTTTTTTAATTTCCCGTGATGCCTCTTGGAGAGCTTTGTGCAGCTTCTCAGGATCTAACCCAGGCACAATAGGCCTGCGTCAGCCCCCAGTCCGCACCGCGTGGTTGCACAGGCAAAATCTCAGGAAGTTGAACACATTTCCGTTCGCACGTTTCTGCTGACAGGAAGATAACTGATGTCCCCAGGGGAGGTGTAAGTGTAAAATCAGAAAAAAAGAGCGATAACAATTTAATTAAAACTACAGATTTTCACAGATTAATCAGAATAATAAATTGTACCCTCTCCTTCCAGACCGAATGCAAACAGATTTGATCTAACATTTAGCTATGAGTACATAAAAGATGAAAAGCTACCCCTGTAACAGGCCGTAAAGGTATACAGGGTTGTGAGACGTCGAGGATCCCAAATTTTCTCGAGACAATCGTTTCACAAATGACGGTGAGGTTGTCAGCCTTACGCGCCGACCGCCCGTTACCCCAGGAAGATTCCAGGTACTCACTTCTGTTAGAGGCTGAGTCGACCCCAGGGTCATAGTGTGGCTGAAAGGATTAGGTCAGTTGAAAAATCCGATGACCACATCGGGTTACGATCCCGCGACCTTCCGGCTTGTAACACAGTGCCTCAACCAACTACGCTACCGCGTGCACCAGCTATGAGTGTATTTTTTTTACAACTTACTATATATTAGATTCTAAACTGTTCTGACGATGGTGGATGACACAGAATTACTGGGTTTTTAGACCTTTTCCATCGTCCGGAATTATAGGTAACAGAGGACGCGACGTTTCGGAAACTAGATCTGTTTCCATCTTCAGGTGAGAAAGGAATACACCTACTCAAGTTTTCCCCCCTTAGAAAGAGCTAATCTCAAACACTGGGCAATTGGAAAAGTCCAAAAACCCATTAATTCTGTGTTACTATATACCATTCATCGCATTTAACTTAAAGAACGCTTCATACTTGGATTAGTGGGACAGATGTGGTTGCCGCTTTGAATATAACCTATCATATCGAGGTTTGAGTTTTTAAATGGCCGTTCTAGGGTCCTTTTCTAAGTTCATCATACAACGTTGCTTCGTTTTAACGGCTGTAATTGTTGAAAATCCAATATCGCATAAGTAAGGATGTCGCGAAAGAAAGGAGGATGTTCAGAGGTTTCCTGCTGAGGTGAAGGAATTCCCCTCCAATTATTCCCCCTTGGCACTACAGCCTCAATTTGGACCTTGGCCTACCTCCATGAAACTCTCCGTTTCACTTCGGTTTACTAGATCTTAAACATTCGGTAAGACTCCCTGGGCGGGTGATCAGGTCGTAGAAAAGCCTCTCTACTTGTACACAAACACAGAAAAAAGTGCCCGCATACACACACACACACACACATTAAACATCAATTCCCTGAGTGGGATTCGAACCCACGATCCCGGCTTCCGAGCATGCCTTAGACCGCTCGGCTACCGTAACCGGCAATTCCCCTTATTTTGTGTTTGTGTTGTCCTGTGGTTAGGTAGAGGCCTTGCGACGAGCTGATCACTCGTCCAAGGAGTCCTACCGTCTATAAAATGATAAAAATGGACAAACAACCTCGACACCGTAAAGGTATAACGGATTAAGAAATAAATAAATAAATCATCAACAATTTGGAAGAGTTATTTCACTGTTGCTCTTCTATCTTTAGGTTTGCAGAAAAGCATTTCTTCGTTAAATGCCGTATGTTCAACACATCGCACATACACGTAAGCTATCAAGTGACCAACATCGTTACCATCAGTCGCCTCGTCAATCTGTACTGAAAAGCGTTTGTAACAACACGTAGACTTATATTGTTGTTTACTTCCTAAAGCGCCTGACACTTTATGATTTTGAATTTTGTAATATTGTATGACAGGCCGATCACAGTGGCCGCGCGGTCTAAGGCACGAACTATCTTAGCTCGCTCGAACGCTGGGATCATGGGTTCGAATCCCACTCTAGGCATGGATGCCTATGTGTGTTTATTCTGTGTTTATGTTGTTCTGTGTGTAAGTAGCGGCCTTGCTACGGGCTGATCCCTGTCCAAGGAGTCCTATCGAATGTGTACGGGATTAAGGAACTGAAAAAAAAAAAACTTCCAAGATCTAACAAAGGACTGCAGAGCCATAGATGGATAGTACTGTATTACAATTAAACTATCTGTATACAGCAAATAGACTTTCATACAAACAACACACGCTCCCCTCCATAGGAATCCAGATTGACGGGCCCCAAACTTTAGGACCCTCTGTGCCATCAGATTTTGCTACTGGGGACACAAAACATCCGAGCAAGCCTTAGGCTTATATAGTCATATAAGTTGAGTTCAGAAACATTATTATATTGTATTATAAAGAGTGCAGGGCGAAAGTATCTATCCAGTAGGTTAATACATCGGATATATAACTTTGAGACGTAGAATCCTACCAGTTCGAATTCGGTCGGGTTACCAAGCATCATGTTTTGTCGTGGTTTTCTTAAGTCCCTGTGATCATTCTCAGTCTTAATAATACAACTTGCGTGGTGTTCCTATGTCTGCGTGACCATTGCTACACTGTCTAATTTGTTCGCCTGAGAATAAACACAAAGTGATAAAGTGACGCAAGAGAACGCTTAACTGTAACGGGATTCTTAAGGCTTTCCTGGCGAATATCGGCCTCGTCGGCCACTTTCAGAATTCATGTCCTGACCATTCTACATACTTCTGAAACAGCGACGTTATATCGCCGCACACCAACTGCGTCAAGACAAGCATCAAGATATGAGACAAAAGATGCAGTCTTGCTTTATTCTTGATTCGTCAGCATGAAGCTGACGTCAGCATAATGACTCAGACCGGTGTGCGGCGGTTCTCATGATCTCATTCGTTTGAACTGTGCTCCTTTCTTTGCGTCATGTCGCAGACATCGTGTCTTGACTGTTACATGTCTTGACGCATGCCGGTGTGCGGCCTACCTAAGACTTATTCAATCGAAACTCGTTAATGACCCTGATGATGGACTCAAAGAAATTTCTCCCAGTCATATTCCTGGTGGTGGAGAGCGAAGAGACAGTTGTAACAAAAGAACTAAGATTTTAAAAACCAAGAAATGGGGCACCCGATAGCGTAGTTGTTGAGGCACTATGCTAAAAGCCGGAAGGTCGCGGGTTCGATCCTAAATGAGGTCACTGGATTTTTTCAATTTACCTAACCCTTCCAGCCGTCTTATGGCCCTGGGTTTGACTCAGCCTCTAAAAAAATTAGTATCACGAATCTTCCTGGAGGTAAAGGGCGGTAGGCGCGTAAGGATGACAACCTCATCACCATCTGTGTGACAATTTTCTAGAGAAAATGTGGGAGCCTCATCGTCTCACAACCCTATGAGCCTTCACGGCCTGTTACAGGGGTAGCTTTACCTCTTTTTAAGAAACCAAGAAATATGTTTACAAGAAAATGCCTACAATTTTTCGAATGAAGGGAACTTGCGAAGTAATGGCTTGTTCAAACATCACGAAAACCAGACTACAGTGGCGGGAGGATTGTGCTATGTTCAGTGATCAATCGTGGAGCATATGTCGCAGTCAGGGTCGAGGGAGAGGGCGTTGCGTGCTTCTGACAGGAAAGATTCACAGCCAGAAATTTATGCGAATTAGAGAGTGCTCTCAACCCATTTCGAACAAAAACAAGCTCGTTCATGCACGTCAGCTTTCTAAAATTTTCTGACATGAGGCCCGTCTAAACTTTATTCTTGGCTTCGTGATTTCGGCAACTTAATATTTGAATCGATCTCGAAATCTTCTTACGAAAGTCAAAGCGTTCCTTTATCATTCAGCTGTGCAAGAAATCCCCTATTAGGGAACCCGTCTTGACAAAACTGCTGACGAATTTTTTACTTCCATAACAGGAACTTGACTATCCCAATAACTGCCAGATATATTCAGCGTTTTACGCGCATTCCCAAAAAAGGAAATTCAAAATTCCTCTTCATTGTGCCTAAGGTGCAGTATTAAAAATCTGACTTCGTAGACATATTGTCGCGTTTTACATTGTGACTATAGACGGGGTATGAATTGGTGAATGGATTTATTGAACACTTACGCACAACACTCAGAACTACACGCAAGCGCTTACAGTGCTACCACAAATCTACAAATTACTGCACGCTAATTCTTCTCCAGCCTGTCTCCAACAGTCGTTTCCTAGTAACGGCTTTAACAGTGGAGATTCGTCAGCTTACCGCGCTCACATCGTTACTGTCCAGCGAATATCAAGCAATTGATCTCCTGTGATCTGTTAACTCAACTATAGCGCTATCGCTTCTCAGCATCCCTGGCACAGCTCACTTGTCCTACCTGGGGGTCCTCGCCATATAGCATCAGGGCGGACCCAACAGAAAATATCGCCTCCAATAGTTTTTCTATTGTTGTTATGGGCGGTTACATAGCGATAGTCCGGATATCGTTTCCTTTGGAACTTGTTTACCGAGCCATTGTTCAGAAACGGCTGTGTGTTTGTTCGCCTAGTGCAAAGCAACATCTGTACTCGTCCGCTTCGAGATCTCTGTCCAGAAACGGGTCTATACGGCGTAATACTACGTGTAAAAGAGCTAATTTTATTTTCAGTACAGGCCTGTCGAAATAAGAAGGCAGTGCCCAGGCGCTGCCTTCTCACTGAAAGGCATCGAGTTCAATTCCAAGTGACTTTATGTGACATTCACGGTGGAAGAAGTGGCAGTTTGGCAGGGTTTTCTTACAATTTTCTTCAGGTTTTCCTTGCTAATCAGCACACCACCACTGCTCCACACTTATCTGTTAGATGTACGATTGCACTTAACATGTAGAAAATTCTCACATGCTCGGTTTCTTAGTTTGGGGGTTCATCTCTGACCGGTACTTGGCTGGTTACAGAGTAAGGAGCTTAGTTCCCGTGTATTTAGAAAAGACGTATACATGCAGTTCGTTGTTTTGTGTGTACAGTGCCATTACTCGGTGAAAAGCTGTGCAGCTGTTTGCGGCCTGGGAGTGGACAACTGTGTTGAGGTGCCATCTGACAGCAGGTAAGGAAATTACAGGCGTAAATGTGCCTGCTGAATTTTAATTTATTCCTCCGCGAGCATTATTTGCAACACTAAAAGAACAACAACCTAGACTTATACTCAGGAGGTGCTTGGTTTGCATATCGGTTGAGACAGACCTCCTGACATCCTGACTTCATGGTTTCTGTCACTCCCCCAAGAAACGCCGGGAGAGCACCTCGATTAGGCCACGACCACTTTGTTCCAAAGAATTCACACTCGACGCGTTAAGATCGGAATCTGAGACACTCGCAGCGTCATTTAACAAACCAGAAAAAAATAAGTCCTGGGAAGAACTAATCTCCTACTATCCTTTAATACGAAACGGAAGGCACAGAACACAAAAAAAAAAGGGGACATAGAGACAGCAAAGTGATCTCGCAAACCTCCTAACAAAGGTTAAGGGAAGAAACACAAGCAAAAGCGCAGGCAGAAAGTGATGCCACAGGCGCCCTTTTATTTTCTCAAAATAAGGGAAGTGGGCTAAAACAGTTGGTAGGTTTAGACGTGAACAAATGTAGAATTATAAAACATTTCAGTTGCTGACAGTAGTGGTGAAATATACGTGACAACCCACATATGTCAACAGACTACAGAACCAGCTTCATAACTTGAACTCTTCTCCAAGTATAATTAGAGCGATCAAGTCAAGGAGGATTAGGTGGACAGAGCATGTAGCATGAATGGGGGAGAAGATGAATGCATGTAGGACATTGGTTGGAAAGCCAGAAGGAAAGAAACCACTTGGAAGACCAAGGAGTAGGTGGGTGGACAATATTAAAATTGTTCTTAGGGAGATAGGATGGGATGGAATGGATTGGATTGATCAGGTTCAGGACAGAGATCAGTGGAGGGATCTTGTGAACACGGTAATGAACCTTCGGGTTCCATAACATACTGGGAAATTCTTTAAGTAGCTGCACAATTGGCGGCTCCTCAAGAAGGGCTCAGCTCCATGAGTAAGTAAGACTACAGAGCAGTATATTAGTGAGTCGCAGGGTTACACCTAAATGCTACTGAAGTGGCTGTCTCTTGTTACGTTGCAGGGGGCGCATGATCCCATCGGAGCTGGAGCGCCTTATCCTGGAGAGAAAAGCGAAGGGCCACATCCCCTTCTTTGTGAACGCGACTGCTGGAACTACAGTATTAGGGGCATTTGACCCCATAGATCCGATTGCTGATATCTGCCAGAAGTACAAACTGTGGCTGCATGTTGATGTGAGTATTACACAGTTTCTAACAGGCCCCGTCAGGCCGCGCCATAGCTCAAGCGGTTAGTCGCTGGCTTCCCATCGCGGCGGCCCGGGTTCGATCCCGGGTCTGGTCAAGTGGGATTTGTGGTGGACAAAGTGGCGCTGGGGCAGGTTTTCTCCGAGTACTTCGGTTTCCTCTGCCAATCTTCATTCCAACAATTGCTCCACAATCACCCTCACTTATCATATGGGGCTGGTACAACAGGCCAGAATTGGCCGCAGTACAAGGGACTTAGTCCCACCCCACTACCAATAAAAAAACAACCCCCCTCAACAATACACGGCAGCAGACTCCGCAGCGATCCTACTGCTAATTAGAAGTCCCATATTGTAACTTTCTTTCTTAATAAGGCACTACAGCCCCAGTAGGCCTAGGCCTACCTCCATGAACTTCTCCGTTCACTTCGGTTTTTCTAGATCTTACACATTCAGTAGGACTCCTTGGGCTGCTGATCAGCTCGTCGCAAAGCCTCTACCTGTACACAAACACAGAAAAACGTACAGACAAACTAAACATCCATGTCCTGAGTGGGATTCGAACCCACGATCCCGGTTTCCAAGCGAGCGAAGACAGTACATGCCTTAGAACTCTCGGCTACCGTGACCGGCATATTGTATCTTAACTATGTATTTTTCGAGCAATTCTGGCTAACAGTTCACTTCATGGAGTCAGTCAGGCCAACAGTACAAAAATTTCTTTCTCGTATCTATAATCATCATCATCTTTACTGGCAAAAGGCCTTCAGGATCCATAGCCTTACTCAGAAGATTCTGTAAGTTTGCATCCGGTTTTCACGTTTTGGATTTCGCAACAATATACTTTTTAAAGAGCATCATGGTCAGTTTTGCGACCATCCACCAATCTGGAGGGCCAGGTCTCTATATTTATGTTCCCCAGTGACATGGTGGCCCAGTTATACACCCGGACATTAGGTTCCATTTTCGTCGCTTCCTACGCCTGGCAGGGCTACAGTGGAGGTATTCTAACCTGCCAGATTTCTGAACACATGACCTTTTCTTTTTTATTGCTAGTGGGGTGGGACTAAGTCCCTTGTACTGCGGCCACTTCTGGTCTATTGTACCAGCCCCAGATGATAGGTGAGGGTGATTGTGGAGCAACTGGTGGAATGAAGATTGGCAGGGGAAACCGACGTACTCGGAGAAAACCTGCCCCAGCGCCACTTTGTCCACCACAAATCAAACTTGACCAGAACCGGGCTCGAATCCGCGCCGCCGCGGTGGGAAGCCAGCGACTAACCGCTTGAGCTATGGCGCGGCCAACACGTGACCTTTAGTTGTACATATACGAGTACACTGCAGCACAGCGGGAACGAGTCTAGTACAGTTTCCTGTTACACGTAAAAACAGTGTTCATAGCATCCTGTATTCTCTGAGATATTGATAGCAATGGTAAATAAGGACTTCCACATGTGGCCACAAAGATGTCCGGCTTGGCAACAAAATTTTCAAGATCGTGTTAAGTCAGTGTTGCGAAACATCACAGTTAAAACAGGAACTAGTTCATATGATAATTATTTCTCACCTTTATCTTATTACTTATGGGCTATTCTTACCTCCACAATGTAGCACAACTGGGCACAATTGTAACAAAACTTCCTGATTCACTCTAGCACTCACAAGACAGTGATATTATTTATAAAACATTTCATTTCGCAACTATAAATAGTCCTATTAGTTATACTACTACATTAGCGTAGTCGCTATAGCGACTGGCTATGGGCTGGATTTCGAGTCCCAGTAGGGTCAAGAATTTTCTCTTCTTCTCGTCGGCCAAATCGCTTCTGGGGCCCACCCAGCCTTCTTTCCAATGGGTACGCGGGGCTCTTTCCCCGGGTGTAAAGCGGCAGGGGCGTGAAGCTGACCACTCACCTCCAACTAGTGCCGAGGTCAAGAAAATGTGGATCTATACATCCGTTCCCACATACGCCTTCATGGCGTAGTGCTTAACTGTTAAGCACAGGGATAATTTTATTTTTTATCAAACCTAACAGCATTATCTAACGCATTATCTTACCTAGTTTCAAATAATAAATTGTGTAGTTACGAGCTGCCTGTACTGATCAAGGGTTCAGAAATTAGCAACAGCAACCGATGAAATTCATTTCAATCACAATTTAAAATTATGAACAACTGCTGTAAGATATCGGCTACTAACAGCTACTGGCTATCTGTTAAACATGTTGCAGGCCGCGTGGGGAGGAGGCCTGCTTCTGTCCAGGAAATATCGACACCCCAGACTCTCTGGCATAGAGAGGTGAGTGTCCGTCGATTTTTATGAAACCTGATATGGACGTTATCCCATTGGAGGTCACCTCAACGACGCACCTTGTAATTTCCTACAAAAAGTTATAAAAACATGGGGTGCGTGCGACTTGTGAGGTGGAGGTGACATTAGTGGGAATTTAGGGTCCTGAAAAATACACGTTAATAAATCATTGAAAAATGTACAAATGCATTTATAATTATGGTAATGTAACGGATTTGACCAACGCGTTGCCAGGCAACAGCTCTGTAAACACGGTCCAACATGCAACAATAGATGAGGCTGTGTTTTCTATGTAATCCGCGCCCAGCAAAGGTGGAACAACGAGGTATGCAACCCGTTTCTGAGCAAGGGTTCTGTAAACATACTTTCGCGTAAGCGGTGACGCAATCAACAATAAAGACAGTGTTTCCCGTGGGGTCTGTGCAGAGAGCTTATAAGAGTAGTGAAAGCAGTGACAGAATAAGCTCCAGTTACGAGTCAGCCGTAAGCTGGAGGAGTGAGTCCAGAAGAATTTTTAGTTCCGAGGTTCCTGAGTGATTTAAGACGAAATAGCAAGAAGACTTCTTAGTGATCTGAAGTGCTAGTTTCTGTGTTGAGTTCCTTTGCTAGGAGACGACTAGTGAAGACTAGGAATCACAGTGCGTGTGCAACGATGATTGGAAAGTGTGCAAATCAGCGATAGCGCTGTATTTAAATGTGATTAAGAGAACTTATAACCAAGGTGCTAATAAATCAAATCATCCGAACAAGATTCCGTTATTTTCGTCACGTGTATCACCCTACATGTGACAATAATTTCTTGTATAATGGAAAATAACAATATGGCAGTCGCGCGAATATTTTCTTTAGCTTTCTGTTTGATGGTGATGACTAAGAGTCCAGTGGAGCTAGGCATTTGAAAATCGGTAGAGGTAGATCATAAGCATACCTATAAACCAGGTATTAAATATTGTAAGTCAACAATTGCTAATATGGTCTTAGTTAGTTAGTTATTGGAGAGGGTGGGTTTCCCCATGCACTGAGACCTGTATTGATCCATTGTGCTTCCCTCTATGATTTCTACCAGTCTCTATATCCTACCGGTACTGGTGCTTACCATCAGTCCCGCCCAGCCAGCGAGACCGGCTCTACTAGCTGAGAGGTATCTATAATGCTTCCCCCATCTACCAGAGGTATTAGAGACTGCTGTTGGGCGGGAAACGTCCGTTAATTTGGCTCAGTGACCTCCTTTGGAGATATGAGGTTCTTTTACGTGCCGTAAAGCTACGACACGGGACCCACGGCTTAAAGTCCCTCCCGGAGGACTTGTTCCCTGAATTTTTCCGCCCTTAAAAATTTGACAACCTCCGCCGGGTATTTGAACCCGCGTACTACGAGTCATGAGGTGGGAACGTTACTAATATGGTCTTAAAATACAATGAAATATAAACACACATACTTACAATGTTAGAAATTTGTTCGGCTACAACTCTGTGCAAAAAGGTGGTACGCCGTATGAGTTCTTTTCGGGATTATTTGTTATTATCGTGAAAAGAAATTCATAAGAATTGTAAACGACAAAGAGGCACTAAATCAACAGGACTGTTTGGGCGATTGAGCCTACGCGCCCACAGGCGCAATTTCAGGTACCATTTTTCTACAACAACGTAGCCTATTTCTCCACTAAAATCTCTAGATCGACTTCTCAATGATCACAATACGATAAGGGGGGGGGAGGCCCCTCGCTCTCTCTGTAGTGACGCACGTGCTTTTAATTCCATGTCTTGGTTTTAATCTGCGAATCGTAGCAGCTGCGCCCATCTGGTGGTGCGTCAGCGCTGTCAGGTTCCCATGTTCACACCAGAAGTATGCGTCGATGCTTTCCGATCAGTCATCATCCTATATATTTAATAGCAGGAGCCGGGATAGCAGAGTCGGTGTAGCGACTGATTACGGGCTGGACGACCGAGGGGTCGGAATTCGAGTTCCGGTAGGGTCAAGAATTCTCTCTTCTCCACGTCGTCCAGACCGGCTCTGGGTTCCACCCAACCTCCTATCCAATGGGTAACGGGGCTTTTTCCCCGGGGGGGGGGGTAAAGCGGCTGGGGCGTGAAGCTCACCACTCACCTCCAACTAGTGCCGACGTCGAGAAAACGTGGGTCTATAAGTCCACACCCCATACGCCTTCATGGCGTAGTGCTTAGTTAAATACAGGGAAAATTTTACCTTTATATAGTTTAACGACAGTGCATGAAATGCAGACAGTAATTATCGAAGAATGGAACTGTAGAATGAACAAGTCTGCGCACAACAGATTCAAGATAACTAGAATGGAAAATTCGTGGTCTATTTCAAAATACTATTCCCATATTTGTCTGAAGAGACTGAGTGCATAAAATCGCTGCTCTAACCAAAGACTTTCCCCGATATAAATGAGACGGTACAAATAACGTTTTTCCTGCCGATCGCAGCGGCTGCGCGAGCAAAGACACCAATTTCTTCGCCTGCTGAAACAGTGGAACAGTGGGTTTGAATCCCACTCGAGGCATTGATATTTGTCTGCATTTATTGTGTTTGTTTTCCCTTGCGTAGGTAATGGCCTTAAGCGGGCTGATCTCCCGCGAAAGGAGTCCTACCGACTCTCTATACTGTCACGTGTCAGGGTTCCGTGACTAATAATTAACGGGGTCTGGATTGGATATACTGGCACTTCTATTACAGTTTCATTTTTTTTTTTAATTCTCTTAGTGAGGGGTGGAGTCCAACTGGGTCCACTGGGCACGGCGGCCACTGATTGGCCTATTGTACCTGCCCCGGGTGATTATGATGATGAAGAATTTGGTGGAATGAAGATTGGCAGGGGAAACCGAAGTACTCGTAGAAAACCCCCCCAGCGCCACTTTGTCCACCACAAATCCCATTCTATTACAGTTACTCTTATTTAAAATTACTTACAACAGCTCACAACCGGTGACTGTCTCAGACTTGCTCCATTCCCTCCTGGACACGAGGGCCTTCTCTTCCACTGTGACTGACTTGCACGAATGACGCCTGTCTTAAGAATCCTTTTGCTGACGACTCCAGTACGACTGACTCTGCGAGTCTGAGCCTGAGTTTGAGTCTTATGTTACCACCGACGGTCAGTCGTTCAGTCCGTCTTGGAATAAAGCACCCATCTGGGGCTTACCATAAGATCCTTATTACTGTCAGACACTTGCGGGTCTGTTGATCTGGGGCGCTCTCTTTGATGAGAGGACGGGTCTGACGTTTACAATTGCTGCTGGCCTTCGCCGGTGAAGTCATTCTCGGGTCGAGTCCCTAGGGTCTCGCGACCAAATTTTACTATCTCAGATTCGAGACTTCCATTTTAGTCATCTCCTAGGACTCGCAGGTAGAGGCATTCGACCCCGCCCCCAAATGGGGGATGACTCTGCGAATGAATTACATATCATTTTATAACTTTATGCAACTGGTGCGAGATATGCTAATAAANCTTCATCTCCTAGGACTCGCAGGTATAAGGCAGAGGCATTCGACCCCGCCCCCAAATGGGGGGTGACTCTGCGAATGAATTACGTATCATTTTATAACTTTATGCAACTGGTGCGAGATATGCTAATAAAGAACGTCTGTTTCTGAGCAAAAGACCTGTAAACACGTTTCCGTGGCAACGAATACGTATGCGACAATAGAAGAACGGTGTTTTCTATGTGGTCCGTTCCGAAAAGTTTTAATCAGAACACTTTGAGCAATCAGTCAGTTGAGTTCTGCAAGGGAGGCTGAGAAGAGATGGCGCTACAGTTCAGTTGACAGCTCAGTTGTGGGATATTCGCCGGACAGTAACGACGTGAACAAAGAAGCTGAAGATTCTCCGTTGCTGAGAGCTGTTACTGCAGGTTGGAGAACACTTAGCGTGTGTTGATATGTGAGTTGTGGAGATCAGCGATAGTGCTATAGTTATTTGTAGTTACGACTTGTAAGCGGTCAATAAATCGATACCACCTCTATAGTCAGACGTAAGTAGTGACAGTATTTTTAAAGAGGAAGTGAGGAAAAATCACGTAAAACATGTCGGGTTAGCCCATTTCTCGAAGCACGGGACTCCCGAATAAGGTGGAATGCTAAGTAATACAGCGAGATAGCCGGAAGGCTCCATTCTTATTGATATTGTAATAAGACGTGGGAAATAAATATTTCCTATAGTTGTAAAATATTTCAATACGCAACCTACACCTTCATTCAGAGACGTCAGGAAAGGAATGTACAGCCTACGTGTAAATTAATTTCGCAATAAAACGCTTAAAAATAAGAATTAGAAGCGATCGTAGTGTTAACCGATTGAGATGACCTGAGACCGACTACTTGATCGATTGCTTGTGAGTCACGTTGTGCTTGATGTTTCGGCCAATTAAATACCCTTAGAGATTTAAAAGCGGCCTGCATGATTGATGCTCCACAGCTGTTGTCGACACCCCCTACCCCCCCAAATCCTTCCCCGTCTAATTGAATTTTAATGTTGTTCAATATTCGGTCCCCACCCCACCCTCAGCCACAGGTTCTCCTCAGCCACTCCAACACTAAGTGCATAGGCGTTGATGCTTATATGTTAGAACAGATAGGGTAACCTCCGTTCCTTCCATCTGATACGTTTTATATTCTTTATTCTTTTCTGCTTAATTTCATTCATTCTTTCTTCTTATTCTTTTCTCCTTCTTATATTCTCTTTCATTCTTTGTCTTTATATCTTTCTTCATTTATTTCATTTTCTTCTTCTACTTTCTTTAACAAATTTTCCCTTCTTTCAGTCTCTTCTTTTATTTCTTTCGTTCTTCTCTTCTCTTTATTTCAGGATTCTTTCATATCTCGCCTCTTGAATATGCATGACTGGATAATACAATCATTTCGTGGTAGACCAGAGTTTATCTAACTGACTATTAATGCACAATGGAAAGTAAGGAATTTCCGCAGATATAATCTAAAAATTTATAACGTCCTCCATAAACCAAACGTCCGAGTATAGTTTCTTTGGACAGCCCTTTAAGGAGTGTTTTTAATGGTCGTGGTTCCCTTAAGCCACTAATTGCACTCCCCAACCATTAATCATCACGAATCACAGTATGATTTGGGTAACATATCCTGCATGCGACTGTTCAGACACTATCCCTCACATTTACTTCCTCCACTTCGCTCCCACTTTGGAGCATACGACTGATTTCTCAGTTTCATTGATCATTTTTTTACAGACGGTAGGACTCCATGGATTTACATGATTTATATTAGACTGTCTCATGTTCATGTATGCCCCTCATGATTTACATTAGACTGTCTCATGTTCATGTACGCCCCTCATGATTTACATTAGACTGTCTCACGTTCATGTGCGCCCCTCATGACTTACATTAGATTGTCTCATGTTCATGTGTGCTCCTCATGATTTACATTAGACTGTCTCATGTTCATGTACACCCCACATGATTTACATTAGACTATCTCACGTTCATGTATGCCCCTCATGATTTACATTAGACTGTCTCATGTTCATGTACACCTCACATGATTTACATTA